AAAAAAAAAAAAAAAAAAAAAAAAGAAAGGAAGGAAGAAAAGAAAATACAAAGCCAGATGAGTCCTGTGCTCTCCAAAGTAGTCACTCTGTGAGGCAGGTATACTCACTCATCTCAGAGATGCCAGAGAAGCCCAAGTTAATCTCTCTGCAGAGCCTGAGCTCTCCCTGCTGCAGTAGTCTGCCTTTGCCTCCAAGCAGAGTCACCTCTGGGGGAAAGGAATTAGTATTTGCATAGTACTTTACAGTTTTATGCTGTGCCACTACCTACTCAGCTTCTTTAGTCCTCATAACAGCCTAGCAAGGTAGGTGCTATTATCCCCCTTTTCCAGCCAAAGTATCAGGAAGTTTAAGGAAGCTGCCCAAGGTTTCACAGCTCAGAAGGAGCAAAACTGGGAAGCAGACCCAGGTCTGTTGGACTCCAAACCCTGTGTTCATCCCACTGCCTCTGGAGGAGGAACCGGGAGGGCTCCATCCGCCCTCACCCCACCCTTTTTACCCGCTGTAAACACCTTGTGGGGCAGCTGGTCAGCCTTGGGGCCTCCGCAGGCCCTGACAGCCTCCCTTACTCCCACAGCCCCTTACTGTTTCCCCAACCTCCACACCAAAGCCCGGCTACCTTCTCCCCATGTGGTCCGACCCCAGGGGCGAGTCCTCAGACTGCAGCACAGCAAGCTGGTGGGCTCTAAGGCCCTGTCAACCACAAGCAAGGCACTGATGACTCTACCTACAGCCAAGGTCTTGATTTCCCTCCCACCTAACCTTGATCTCAAGCAGGCATCCAGCATCCCGAAGCCAAGAAAGGTGGGCCTTAAACTGTGACTCACATCCTGGCAGCGGGCAGTGCTAACCACTGGGCTGGAGGGCATAGGCAGAGGGCAGCTCCCAAGGCTGGTTGGTACCCCAAGGGAAGAGCTTGTCTCCCTCAGAACCCCCTTCATATTATTCCTGATCATCTCTCTCCCTCTCCCCTTTTACACCGAGGCTGTTGCTCCCCCGTGCCTTCGAGGCCCCCAACTTGGAAGTGCCTGGTGGCCTCTGTCCTTAGAAGTTGGAACTCTTCCTAGCACCCACAGGATGGTAAAGGCCAAAGGCAAGTTCAAGGCCAGACTCTGCGACAACCCCAAGGCTGAGGCATACCCCATGAAGAAGCTGAGCTTCCTACAACCCCTCCCCCTTACTGATACCTTCCAGAAGCCAGGTTGCAGGAGCTATGTAGCTAAGGAAGCCCCTGCTTCAATCCCCACTGCCCCTGTCCTGCATCTATCATCAAATAAAAAGGAACAAGTGATGTATTCTGGGCTTGGCCCCATTGCTGGTAGGGGGTGGGGGGCAAGGCCTTCTACCCAAAGTCTACAGAAACAGTGAGAACCCATCAGCAGTTCCCATCTAGTGACACCCAAGGGGCTTCCTGTTCAGGGTCCCCATAGCATCTCTGATCCTTGGGTGGCAGTGGGAAGGATAAGCTTTTGCTTTACAGACAAGGAAACTGAACCTGAAAGAGGAAGTCCAGCATGATGTGGCAGTAAGTAGAAGGCAAGGTCATAATGTCAGAAAGGCTGACCACTGGGAGTCCTCCCAACGCCAGAAAACTAGTGGGGCTGGCAGCACACTGACATCTATTAGACATAGGAACATTTGTGCCGTAAGATATATGGCAATATGCAGTAAGGGTCAACATTGCTGAAACCCCAGCCCTTCTCTTCTTTTTTTTTTTTTTGCAGGTTTTGGCTAGGGCTGGGTTTGAATCCGCCACCTCCTGCATATGAGGCCGGCACCCTACTCCTTGGAGCCACAGGCGCTGCCCACCCCAGCCCTTTTCTAGAGGCAGTAGTTTGTCTCTTCCCAAGCAAGGGTCATGGTCACCTAAAAATGAAATAACCAACAAGCCGTCCATGTGAAAAAGTATGATATTTCTGGGCAGCACCTGTGGGTCAGTGGGTAAGGCGCAGGTGGGCCAGTGGGTAGGGTGCGGGATATACCAAGTGTGGCGGGTTCCAACCCGGCCCTGGCCAAACTGCAACAAAAAAATAGCCGGGTGTTGTGGCGGGCACCTGTAGTCCCAGCTGCTTGTTGAGGATGAGGCAGGAGAATCACCTAAGCCTAGGAGTTGGAGGCTGCTGTAAGGTGTGACGCCATGGCACTCTACTGAGGGCAATCAAGTGAGACTCTGTCTCTAAAAAAAAAAAAAACCTCAATTAAAAAAAAAGGGGGGGGCTCAGCGCCTCTGGCTCAAGTGGCTACGGCGCCAACCACATACACCTAAGGTGGCAAGTTTGAATCCAGCCCGGGCCCACCAAACAACAATGAAGGCTGCAACCAAAAAAAAAAAAAAAA